GCATTGTAGAAGGGAAGGGAGGGCTGCTCCAGTGCCCTCCGGCTTCTAGCCTGAGCCACTGCAGGCATGTCCCTGTATTTCTTCAGTACAGAGGGGATGTCTGAACAGTTACAACCCAGTTCAGCCTAGCCAGGTTTGACTAACCTGCAAAGATTGAATCGATTCAGGCTCAGGCTTTTTTGAGTGTCTGTCCCTAGCTTGTGTGTACTTCAGTGTTCACTTCAGATGGCAAACTCTTTGGAGCAGAACCATGCCTGCCTAAACAATGGTGGAAATTTTCCAGGGGCTGAGGCCTGCTCTCCCTTTTAAAGCAGGCTAAAATGAGTTGAGAGGTTCACAGAATTTCAGACTAGAATAAGACCATTATCACAATCTAGTCTGACCTCCTGCATAATGCAGACAATAGCCTTTCACTGATTGCAGCACACATCCGCCAAGCTGTATCTTGAGGCACCCAATTTGCTCTTGCAGCCAGGTAGAGAGAGTTGCATATACTCAGATTTGCAGATTTGCAGCCAAAAAATCCAAGGCTGTTCTCTGACAATTTTCTGTGGGCCTTTTGCAAAGCTCCCTCACACATACCTGTTACATTATTACCATCATCTTCATTATTACTACTGTTACCACAATTCCTCCTCCTCTTCTCACATTGCTCATAATAATAATAATAATAATGTAAGAGGGAACAATAGAAATAAGTGCATAAAAAGCAAGGGGAAAATGAAAGAAAAAGAAGGGGAGCAAATAACAGGTGGCAAGGAGGTTGAAATGCTTAATAGTACTTATTCCAGTCTTCAATAAAAAAGATAATGGTATCAGGATATTTAATGCAATCAGAGCTAACAGGGCTAGGAAGCAGTCAGAAGGCCGAATCAGAAAGGAATAGGCTGCAGAATGCCTAGATCACTTGAATGTACTTAAATCAGTAAAGCCAAATGAAATTCACCCTCGACTATAGTGCTTAAAAGAACTAGCACAAAAAGCCATTGGTTTATAAAAGCCTCTGCTTCCAGAGACAGTGAGATTATACATCCCCTACAAATCCCTTGGTAAAAAACAATGAGATTATACATACCCTTAATGCCATCAATGATCAACTCAAGTAGCGGCTCATGCACACACAGAGCTGTATTTCTGTAGCTGTTTGGGTGGAGGAAGAATAAGAGTGAAATGTGACATTAGCTTTGATACGTGACATTAGCTTTCATGCTGATGAGAGAAAGCGACATGTTCTAATTATTATTAGCCCTCACAATGAGCCACAAGCTCAGACAAAGAGGGAGAGAGAAAGAGACGGAGAGGAACAGAATTACATTTTCTCACTAATCTAATTAAGGTAAGGTGGGCGAGAGAGAGCGCTTGCTTTATTAATTCAGCAGCCGTTGCCCCATTTATTCGAGGAGGCATGAGGGAAGGATGCAGTGTTTCTGCTGGGTGAGTCAGAATTGTCTGTCTTTGCTGGAGGGGAGCTCTGCTTTAAATGCCAATTTAGGCTAGACATGGCACTACCCTGGTGCATGTCTAACCCCACGTCCTAACTTAATGACATGGATATTAGCTTGCATTGGGTCTTCTGTGGCAAGATGGCCACTTCCTACACAGAGCCTGCGCTCAGGAGCAGAAGGAGCACCTGCCAGGACCTCAGGAAAGTTGGTTGTCCTACCTGAGCTGTCGACTCATGAATCATCCCATTTCACCATTACTTACATTCCTGCTGACCAATTCCGTGTACTTCATTAGCAGCCTGGGGATTAGTGTCCGCATTGGAGACTGTCTGGCTCATCTCCAGTGTATCCAAGCTCCTTGTTATTCCCCATGTCCTAATTCTGCGTTTCTTCTTGGCTTCTCCATAAGGTTAAACACCCTCAGCCTGCTTAAAAAGGCACTTCCTGAAGTCAGAACTGTGCCACCCACTGCCATATGGCAGCTGTGCTCCCTCTCCCACAAGTTACCACCAGTTAATGACATTAAGACATCTGTAGCCAGGTCCCAGATATTTGTGACTCCATGGAGGGGGCGTGACATTTCTTCCCATCAAAATTAATTTTGAAAAGCAAGGAGGAACGGTGCTGCAATAAATCTGCTTCCTTGTTTGGGATCCTGGGAAGCAACTTCATGCCTGAATTAGGACAGGACTCTGAGTTGTGCCAGCCTGTTTTGATCACTATAACAAAGGGGAGTCAGCAAAGGTTTCTGCCACTGCATGACCTTCGAGTGGCAGGTGATCTAATCTTCCTGCCTCGGCTTCCTGCCTGTAAAGTGGAGGCGATAACGCTCACCAACCTCCAGGGCTGGTGTGAGGCTCCTAGTGATAAATGCAAAACCTCCGAAGCTGTTCAGACACTGTATGAGGTGTAAAGCTTTATTACCATGTTACTTGTTATCGCTGCCAACCTCGGAGTTGTCACTGTTACGCAAACACTCGTCTCCCCTCTGAGTGCTGAAGACTGCATGTCTCAGGCTGTGAAGCGTTTCCATCTCGATTCCACTCTGTTAAATGAAGTGATTGGATTTTGTGAAAACCTGGGTTCTTCCGCCTGCCAGACTGAATCCAACACCATCACGTTACATGCTCGTTTTAACTGAGCTTATCTCATCAGACTGACATAGCTTGAAGGAGGTAGGTTAGTGCAAACTCCTGGGGGAAAGAGAAACCCTTGCATTTCCCCCCCAAAATGAAGCTTGTGCTCTAAGCTTACTCGGAGGAAGGAAGAAGCTCATTGAGAGTGTCCCTGTTACGGGTATGGCCATGCACCGCCTTGCAAGTGGAGCAAAGAGGTATCCAGTTGTGCCCAACAGATCTGAAGAAACAGCCTCACCAGCCACGACCTCGCTCAACTCATTTCTCTTTTTCTATGCCTATGTTCTTCATTCTCCCTCTACTGCGGCTTCAGCCAGCCGTGGAGACACTCAGGCACTAGAGTGATATGCATAGTATTAAAAACCAAATGGCCAGGTCAGTGAGAGCTGTATGTGCCCCACATTCCCCCACATCTTCAGGAATATTCACGCCGACATTGGACTGGATCCCAGCAGGGGCCTGGGAGTGTGACCACAATGTAACTGTTACTGAGTACGTCTAGACATGCAGTTAATGTGCCTTAACGTTGCTGGCATGAAAATAAGGTGCAGTAAACTGTGCCTGGGAACATGTCTATGTGTGTGACCATGTCAAGAGTTGGGACCAAGGAGCCCTCCGTCCCCTAAGCCCTGCTGCTGCCTCTGCAGCGCCCACCCCAGTCAGCTCCCACTCCTGGCCTGTGCCAACGGGGAGGTGGAGCCAGGAGCTGAGCATCTCCAGGACTGGGGGGAGATGTGGGGAGGGGGGTGGTTAAGCAGCACCAGGACTGTGGGGAGACATTGCCCCCTGATCCTGATGCTGCTTACCGCACCCCCTGCAGATCCACCCAGTCCTGGCATTGCTCAGCTTCCAGCTCCCTGCAGGCATGGGCAGGGAGTGGGAACCAACTGGGGGGCATACATGGGTAGCAGGAGGGCTGAGGGGACGGAGAAACTCTCTGTACCTGGCCCAGCACAGCAAAGAGACAAAGAGCTGTCCCATCCCAGCGCTGCTCAGTTTGCAGATCTTGTGGGGAGCCAGGAGCTGAGCAGCACCAGGACGGGGAGCAGAGACCTCCCCCATCCCCTCAGCAGACAAAGCAAGGGAAGAACTCAGGGTGCTGCTGGTGCTCAGCCACAGGGAGATTGCCCCAATCCAGTGCCGCTAAGCCAGGCTGCGATCCTGAGCTCTGCACCAGAGCCACAGACAGCCCCCCAGCCCATGTGGCCCCCTGCTGCCTAGGCTGACCAGGAGCAAATTGTTCCCAGTCAGCATCTACACATGCACTACTGCACAGTAGCTAATGCACTGGTAACCTAGTACCTGTATTTCTTGGTACTAGCAAACCACGCATAATCCTAATTTACTGCACAGTAAGTTTTGCACATATGTAGACAGTGACACTCTGTCGTATATTAGATTAGTCTAATGCTTAGTAAAGCATCTCATGTAGATGCACCCACTGAGACTGGTCTTTACTGCTGTTAGAAGCCCTTTGTTTTCTGTGCTCTTCTACACATGCACCATAGTTCAAGCCACTGTCTGAACACACTCATTCTACCCACCTGCGCTTTCCTTCTCCAGTCCCTCTCAAACACGCTGCCATATGCACAGTTATGAAAAAATAATAATGTGCTCTCAGTGGATGGACTCTTCATTTATCCATGGCACTTTTCCCTCTCATGGTTCCCTCTCCCTTCATGCCATGAGTGGTGACAGACAGCTTCATTTATTCCAGCGTCCTTTGCATTATGAGGTTTATTGTACTGGTATAGAATAGGGCAGTGTCGGTATTCAGATAGTGCCCTCTGGAGTCTGACACCTGTAAATCTTATATTTAAGTGATTTGCTTTCCTACCAAATAAATTGTGCTCACTGAATGTTTTTTAACAGCCTGGATACTATTGTTTAGTCTCTGTCATGAAGGTTCCTGAAACCTGCCCAGCTCAGGTGCTTTTGTGTCATACTTAAAACACTAAAAAAAAAAAACCAACACAAACTTGGGGGGTGAGGGGGTTTGTAGCAACCATTTTTAAATTTCAACGTTAATTTGGGAAGCTGGGAAAATTACTACGTGTCCACAGTGCACAGAGAGTTATAGTCAGGCTGAGTTCAGCTTCTATTCCATAATCTCTGTATACTGCACTATACAGTAAGAGTTGCCACCTTTTGAAGAATATTTCTTCTCCCTATGGGACCGAAAAAAAACCTAGGTAGTGGAGCAGTGGAAGGATGTGCTGTGTCTGTCCTGTCTGAGCACTAATCAAGGTTTGGAGAATGCATGCAGGCTCCATGACAATCAGATTGGCATGCTGCAAAATTCATGTGCTGAGGGCAGCTGTTCCCAAGTTGGGTGACAGGGAATGCTCAGGATTGGGGAGGAGAAAATGCAGAGCAGCTGAAAGCCAGTACTAAGGCTGCCCGTATGTTCTTTCCCCAGTATGCTGCAGAATTGCTGGCAGTGGTCCGCCTACCCTTCATCCATCCCAGTTATCTGCTAAACGTTGTTGACAATGAGGAGTTGATAAAGTCTTCAGAGGCCTGCCGGGATCTAGTGAATGAAGCAAAACGTTATCACATGCTGCCGCATGCCCGACAAGAGATGCAGACACCAAGAACCCGGCCCAGGCTATCAGCAGGTAAAGCAAAGCTAGCTTCAAAGACAGATATTTCTGATCTGACATTTTCAATAGCTGTTGACAGAGTGATATAGACTGTCTAGAGTTTGCATGTGAATGGAAGTGGAAATAACTTTTCTGTTCCTTTTACTAGAGTTTTCCCAGAAGCTAGGGAATGACATTACACACAAACCGGTTTAAGTGATCAAAAACTGGTTTAAACCTGTAACAGAACAGCTGTTCAGTGCACATAAACCAGTTTGAAAATGGCTGAAACCGGTTTGAGATAAATCTGGTTGCATGTAGTTTCAGACTTAGCCAGTTTCGGTCAAACCAGTTTATGCAATGTCTGTCCCAGACCCCTTGCTGGTTGAAGATAAACCAGATTCCCGCAGCATCCCAGCATGTTCTCCGGGCTGGGCAGGGCTCTCTGCTCTACAACAGGGCTGGCCCCTCCCCTGTGCTCCCTGGCTGGAACTCCAGCAGAGACTGTGGGCTGCTTTCCCCCTCCTCCTCACCACTCCCTGCTATACAGGAATTCCCCCCTTCCCTCTGCCTTGCGGAGAGTTGTCTGTGTATTAGCTAGTAGACCACATGCTAGCAATGATCTGTGCTGAGTCAACAGGTAGAGTCAACAGGCAGAATCACCAGGTAGCTGGTAATGTCCCTTGTTGTTTTTTTAATGGGGTGATAAACACTATTATCAATTCCCTGCTGGGCTAATTGGAGCATGCTGCCAGGGCCTGGCCATGCACCCCTCAGCTCAGTGCTGTGGAAGGGGAGGGAGGGCTGCTCTAGCGCCCCCCAGATTCTAACCTGAGCCACTGCAGGCACATAGGATGTCTGTGCAGTTACAAAGTGATTTAGCCTAGCCAGGTTAGACTAACCTGCAAAGATTTGATCAATTCAGGCTCAGGCTTTTTGAATGTCTGTCCCTAGCCAGAGAGAACAGATGTGGTCAGAAAAGTCCTGAGCTTGAACGTGAGCTTAAGCTCTCTGCACGGGCCTGTGCAAGGCACTGAAGGGCCAGAATTTCAAGCGGTCTCTCTTGGCTTCCTCTGCTTTGGGATTTCATGGCCTTTGAGGTACCTAAACCAAAATGATTGACCTTGCGTACTTTAATCTAGAGACCTGAATCTGTGTTTAGGCCTTTAATTCAGTGGCCTGATTTTCAGGAATGAATAACTTCAGTCATTTCTAAAGATGAGACCATTTTTTTAAAGTGATGTACGCACAATTCAGCGATGCTTTGATGAGGGCCCTTGTTGTCTGTGCCTCAGTTTCTCTAGCTATAAAATATAACCAATATAATTTTCTTACAATCCACTCATGTTGTGGAAAGTTTGAGCTGGTTAATATTTGTAACCTGCTTTTCACATTCACAGTACTATGTAAATATATTAATATTTTGGCTCCATGAATCTTAAAATAGTAGGTCTGGCTGTTTGTTGAATCTGAAACAAGTGGGTCACAGAAGAGATGTTACATTTTTATATTACCAAGCAACTATGGAAAATAGTAACATTTCAAGAATCTTTCCACTTGGGAAATACTTGTTTTATTTCTAGGAAAAATAAATGAAGAAGCTAGTCTCCAATGTAAAACATCAGTCTGTCCCATAGCAGCTTTAAAAATGTTCCAAGCACTTGTTTAACTGGAAGTTAGCAAAGTAGCATGCATCAAACTGCAACAAGAAGCAACCAGATGTGGAAGAAATACATGAAACTTTCCAATGCATTGTTCCTGCTGTTTCTTCCTAGCCCATGCAATTATAGAGCTAAGCAAACTTTCTGATACGAGTTGCTAGTGAAACTAGTATGTATGTAATTTAAATCAAGGTGAATCCTTTGCAGCTGGGGACAACTGTCTAACCAAGGCACTTTTCAGAAATATGAACTATAGAGGACTTTCACTCATGCTCCTCACTAAAAAAAAATCTTCAGCTGCCAAAGGCAAATGGTGTATGTTGGAATGGATTTTTTTGAAAAGTGCTTATTTTATGTTTATGCCTAAAATTGTAGGTATAACAGAAGCCATTTTTAAGGAGCTTGTTGATTAGGGGAAAATAATTCTCTTGGGGTAAGAGAGGGTGATTATAGTTTTTTAGGTCAGAGTCTAATTATATGGAATCATGTTATTTTGCATATTGCCTACATTCATGTGTTTACAAAGGCTCTCTAAACACCTTTTGTGGGTCTGCTACAGTGTGTTAGGTGCCCTCTTGAGGTCATTTGTTATAATCAAGCTATCTCTGCTTCAGGTGATTAGATTTTCATACACATACTGAAAGTAATGTTCTTGTTACCAAGAAATAGTTATTTAAAACTGTGCAGAATTTGTAAGATTAATACTATGTGAAGGTCATCATTTTGAATGACATTTAAATATGAAAAATTCAAATTCTAGATGGTGACGGGTGAGGAGAGTCCAATATTCTGAGCAAATATTTCCTTACTTTGGGCATGCTATTGCAGCCACGATTGAAAATTTTCAGAACTTGCTTATACTAAGCACTAAATCCAAAGCATCACAACCACTGGCCAGCGAGAGCTGTTGCCAGCAGGTGCTACGGAGTTAGATTGTGCAGTACTATAGGAATAATGTTCCCAAGTCCTAACGTTCCCTGCTCAGTCTTGACCCAGTTTTAACTTTTATGGTGTTTCACACCTCACCAGCAGAGCATTTAGCTTCTTGTACACCCAAGACTACACAGGTAAATGGATAAATGTAAATCAATGAGTCCCCAAAGCAAAGACCATCTTTTTACAGCACCTAGCACAGCGGGGCCTTGATCTGTGATTGAGCTCTCCAGTGCTACCATAATGCATTTAATTAATGATTAATAGCATGCAGGCTGGATTTAAGAAGGCCATGTTCATCTAGGATATGTGAAGAGATACTTCATAAAGGGCCCCCTTAGCATGATTAACGGGAGAGGAATTGAAAGGCTGAAGAAACATAACCAGGAGAAAGAAAGCCTCAAGCCTCTCCATACATCAGTATTCATCATTCATGAAGGATACATTAATCAGCTTGAAAACCGGAAGGGACCTTACCTGGGTAAAGCCAAATCCGAGTCTCCATGAGGTCAGCAACAAAGTCCCCATTGTCTTCAATAGGACTAGACTTTCCCTTGCTGGAGCTAGGTCCAAAACCCATGGAAATCAATGAGCAGCTTTCCCTGGAGAGGGCTTTATACATCCTTCCCCTTTAGTCTTGCATGTCCCAGTACAGTGGCTCATGTAATCCTCCCAACTAAACTCTTCTATACTGACATTGCTTCCCCAACACAGTTACCAAATGTGCCTCTTCACCTCCTCCCAGGGTTGCCAACCCAAGACAGTTTTTTTTTACTGACAGTCTGCAAAGTTATCACTAACAATAAAACTTTTTTACCGACATATGTTTCACATAATGTAAATGTGAGCCTTCTCCTGGACCGTGGGTAAGGGGCAGGTTCAAACCATAGTAAAAAAGACTTGGAGATTATCAGTAAAAAAATGTTCTTGGGTTGGAGACACTATTTGACTGACCATGCTCAGGGGATCCCCTTCTCACCCCCACACCCTGCTACCCGCAAATGCACCCTCCACCATGATGCCTCTCCCAGCCCACTCCCGTGCCAGCCCCACTCTCCCCGGCCCAGCATAAACCACCAAAGAAGGACCACAGTTTGTCCACCTTCCACCCAAGCAAATAAGAGGCAGTGCCATGATAGAGCTGCGTGCTCCATCTGCACTTCAACAGTGCTTTCACAGGGCTTATTTTGCAGCTTAGTTTTTGCTTTGTGATTTACAGGTGGTGCACGTTTTTTACAGAATTTACAGATAGGTGCTTTTAGCCTAGTTATTTACGGAGCGTCCATAAATTGACAGACAGTTGGCAACCCTGCCTCCTACCAACCTCTCCATTTGATTGTACAGCACACAACATCTCTCTTACGTGAGCCTTTATAAGCATCTGAACAGCACCACTCTCAAAGCACCAGAGCTTAAATGATTCACCAGACTGAAAAATGGCTTGTTTTCTCTAGTTGTGTTTTCCAGTGGGGGCTAAAAAGCTGGCTTTACCATGAGTTTTATGATAGACTACTGCCCAAATGAGAAGCATGCCTTTTCTAACAAACATGATTTGCTTAATTGACTTCTAGGTGTAGCCGAGGTAATAGTCTTAGTGGGAGGCCGCCAAATGATTGGCATGAATCAGCGAGCCTTAACAGCTGTCACTTGCTTAAATCCACAAAACAATAAGTGGTACCCATTGGCCAGCCTGCCCTTCTACGATCGGGAGTTTTTCAGTGTTGTCAGCGCTGGGGACAATATCTATCTCTCAGGTAAGTGGCTTACCAATTGGGCATAGAGAAGGGCTGACCCCTTGCAAAAATACATTGTGCAGTGCAAGCAGGGAAGAGGATGTGCTAGTCTTATCCAGCTGTCACTAAAAGGAAGGATGGGCAGAGGGGAACTTGCTTTCACCGTTCTCCATTTCACTTCAGCCTTAATTTCCTTGCAGAGCAGTCAACAGCCCATTCTGCAGTTTTAACGTGTAGAGAATAGGTTTGACAACCATCAAGCGTGCAAAGAGGTTTCCCTCCTGTAACCACACATTTTAAAATACTGGCTGGAGTCGAGCCTAAATGGTGGGTTACTGCATTCGAGACAGATCAGCTGAGCTGCTTGAATATGCGACCTACACTTACAATATTTGCTTACAAGAGCGTTCACGTTTGGTACCTGTTCTTTAAATCTCTCTTTTGACAGTAGCCTGTAGCCCTATAATCTTGTTAGCTTCAATGAAACTGAGCCCACACTCCTGAAGAGGGTTTAACTGAAAGAGTTACTGACTGCGGCTTGGACGTGTAGTATAAAGGTGTTCGTTTATATTCAATCGTGTGATACTTCTCCGATTGAGGAAAGAAAGCAGTCTCTACTGGGTGGAGGTAAAGATCCCCCTGGTGGTCACGGAGAGTAAGTTTGATGGCAAGAGGGGAAGGACTTGTAGATGAGAAGTGTTTACACAATTTTAAATTCCCCTATCATCTTACTTGTGCTGACTAGAGGCCCCTGGAGCTGAATAAAAGTTATTGAGATCAATGTAGCTTCATCCCTTTGTTTTGTTACTGGAGGTCAGGTCCTCAGTGGAGGTCTTTATGCAGTGCTGGCTATTTTGTTCATTGGAGTGCAAAGGTTTCCCACTACGATTCCCCACTCCAGGCTCCGTGGTGTCTGACAGATGAACAAAACCCAACCCCTCAGTTTATTTCAACCCCTTCCTGTGAACTCGTGCCAGGTTTCAAGGGGATCTGGGCCAATTTATAGTCCTGGGTAGAAAGTATATTCAAGTCAGGAGCCTCGCATGATTTCTATGCCAAACTAGCTGTGTACTACTTTATTTTGTTTGCTTTACTCAAAGCTGGAACAGAAAGGAAAAAATGATCTCCTGCAAACTGAAGTGGGGGCATTTCACACTGCACAGTGGGGGGAGGGAATGAAATATCCTTAAGCAAAGCAAATACCAAGGAGGAAGGATGGTTTTGTCATTAGTGTGCGGAACTGAGACTCTGGCTCAGCTGCTGACTCCTAGTGTGGTCTTGGATAAATCATTTCACCTTTCTCTTCTTCAGTTTCCTGTTCTGTAAAATGAGCATAATAATCCTCACCCCTACTCTGGAGTGTGGGAAGCTAAACTCTTTGTGAGCCCCAGTTAGATGCAGCTACACGGTTGTCCAGTATTAGCATCTTGCTTCATCAGCACTGTGGCTGTGGCGCTGCACTGTAATGTAGCAGAACGAAACAGCCAAGTGATGCTGGAGCATTAGGAGTTAAACCTTGAATTCTTATCTACTTATTTTATTTTAATCTCGCCGTTCACCGAGTTGTTTTCTATCTTTTAGTCAGCAGTCTAGATTTCAAACCAGGCAGTATCTATTAAGCCAGGCACTCTCTGCCTCGTGACACCTTCTTGCAAGTGTTGCAGTAATTTAATAGATTGGATGTTATTTATGGATGTTGGAAGGGTATATTCCCTTATGCACATGTCCCTCTTAGTCTGACATCTTGATTTCCTTGTGTCATCTTAAAAAAAAAACAAAAAAACCTTTGGGACGCATGAATAAATGACACAGATCTGCATCATCGGAACAGATGCTCAGTATCGAGGGTGATTTATTTTAATTAGTCAAATGTCATTTGAAGAGTTTTTACTTTGTAACTGGCTTTGATTGCAACATGCAGCGAGCTGCCGGTGTTCCAAGAGCTCACTTAATTCTCTCCTTTCCTCTCCTCTCACTCACACATTGACGGCAGGTGGCATGGAGTCTGGTGTCACGCTCTCTGATGTCTGGTGTTACATGTCCTTACTTGATAACTGGAATCTTGTATCCCGAATGACAGTCCCGAGGTGTCGACATAACAGCCTGGTGTACGATGGGAAAATCTACACCATCGGAGGTGTTGGTGTGGCAGGAAATGTCGACCATGTGGAAAGGTAAGGTTCAGCTCCCAGAGAAACCATCTGATATGTTGTGATTTTGGCTGCGTGTGATTTAAAGGGACACTGTCAACTCCAGTTTACCACAAGATTCAGGTTTTGTCACAAGTTTTTCCAGCAGCCTAGAACATAGAATTATATTGAGTATTTTTTTTAACGCATCAATGGAAATCGTTGTTTTAAAACAAACAGCTGCCAAGTTGTTTGTGACATTTTATTCAATCATTTAATAAACCTGTGCTTTAGAAGTTGTGCGGATTTGGGGCTAGCAAAAGATGGAGAGCACCGATGCACAAACTCTCCTGGTCCACCTACAACGGTGCAGCCAAGGCGAGCTTCTCTTACCCTTGGCTCTTGCAAACCCCCGCAGGCAAGATCCGGCTGGAGGAAGGATTGCCCTCAAGTGTGTGGGTTTTCTGAGAAGCTGCCAGTCTGACCAACTCACGATGATGAGCTTGGTGTCTGGAAACAAATAGGCATCTGCTAGAAGGAAACAGTTTTTCAATCCCTACTGAGATGGGCTGAACAGAACAGGGTGGCAACCACAGTGTTTTATTTTGTAAGAGACTCTGTGATTTCAAACATTCTTTTTGTTCTGAAAGGGAGGCAACAACCCTAATTTCCCATGGAAACAAAGTAATAAAGCACATTCATATTGGACCAGTAGAAATAGGTCACGTTGATAAAATGGAAATTTTTCATTTAGGGTTCAGTTTTTCCGTGTAGAAATGGAAAGCCCTTTTGAACTAGCAAATTAAAACCTTCCCTTCCAGACACTGGACACTAAGAACCAAGGACTTAACAGTGATATTGGTTTTCTGGCTCATTATAACCTACCTGACCCCTGAATTCACCCCAGACATGAAAGGTGAGAAGGATCCTCCACCTTTTTGATAGGCCTCAATCTCCCAGTAATCCGCCTCTTTTCTTTTGCTGTTTGTTTGTCTGCTACCCTTGGGGATTTCTCTCCCCCCGTTACAACTGTTTTCTTTTACTATGCTGTGTTGGTTTTCACTGCTCAGACCTGAAGAAGCATGTCATATGTTCGAAATCTTGTCTGACTCCAGCCCAGCTATACAGTTGGTCCAAGAAAATTAATCCTTGCTGGGCCATCATGGCTACAACGTCCCTAACACTACCAGAAATGGTCACAGCAGCTTCAGCCTTGTTGAGATATATTCTTCCCCAGTTTGTTTCCTGTGAGACAAACTTTCATCAGAATTGATAGATTTTTTATTTGCAAAAAGGAGATTGTTTCACAGCATTTTCTGGCAGATGCACGTTCTGCCTGCAGAGGTTTGACTAGGTCTAGTGCTGACTTCAAATTCCTGGCTCAGAGGTAGAATGGCTTCAGCAGAAGAAGGTTTCAGAGTTTTTTCTCCCCAGAGCAGGAGGGCTGGACCCGATGATCCCACAAGGTCCCTTCCAGCCCTAAACTTCTATGAAACTGAGATAGCCAGTCCCAATAAATGGTATCTTAATGTGGGATCATATCTATTTATGGCAGAATTAAAGATGCCTAGAGTTATTATGTGAATAATATGCAAAAATGAAATAGGATTCAGGTTTCCCAGCTCTCCTTAGTTCTGGATTTTCCAACTATTGCACACTTTGCCTTGCAATATTAACATGCTGTTAATATAGCGTAATATAGATGATATGTGAAATCATCTGTGCAATTATTGCCTACAAATAGATACATGAAAAAACCGTTGTTGAGATTGCAGAATCAAGGACTCAGAATTTAGGAAGTGCTAGGAATTTGGGAAATAACTGTTTTCTAAACTGTTTCTAGAGGGACCCCTACCTTTCCCAGTGCACAGAAGGGACCTTCTCTGGGGACTGACTGGGGTTGGGATGGAAGGGTATATGCCTACATGACCTATCTCACTGGTTGTAGTGGTTGGAAGGTGTTGCAAGAATGAAGCAAGGAACTGCAGAAAGAAGAGGCAGTCTCGTGGCTAAGGGAGTTGAATACTGCCTTGGAAAATGAAATTGTATTCCTATCTGCCTCCCAGAGCTTGTGTGTGATGCTGGGCAAACCTCTTATACTAGTCTTGTAAACAAAACTTAATAATAGATGATCTTTTATACCAAACATGGAAGTCCTAGAGTTGTTGAAGGAAAAGGCCACCTGAACTACTTCTTGTGGGCAAATTATGGTTTTTGTCTCTAACCACTATAAGAAATAGTGGACCTCTTTGGCTAAAGATTTTCTCCCATATCCAAGCAGGCCCAAGCCATATAACAATTGAAGTGTGGGAAAGTTATAAAATCTGAAAACGGAATATTTCTAATGGGAACATCAGGTGAACTTTATAATCGGTGATCAGGAAATGTTACCTTTGCGGTCTTGACCTCTTTGTGCTTATCTGTTAGGCTCATGTAATAATGGTATGATTGCATCCTCCTTTCCACCCTGAAGGATCTAAACTTTCAGCCGATTACCCTCAGTGTGAAGCGGTGTAAAGGTAATCACACATACAGGTATGCACAGTTCATCAGTGGTTGCACAGCCCCTTGGGACATCGTAGTGGTACTTGGTGAATCAGACTCCCGGGCTCTGCACCAGAGTGTGTACGGTTCCAGAAATGGTTCCTGAGGGTAGAGCCAAGTACGCAGACATGGGTCATTTATTGTGAAACGCGAGGGACAGTCCAGGTGATACCATGTTTGAGATTCTCTTCACTCTTCTGCTAAAGTGGCCATGTACAACTTCTCTGTTACTTTATTTGTAAGGTGGGAGATTGGTATTTGCTCACCTCCTTGTTTTCATATGGCGATTGGATCTGTAACAAGGGCTTTAAATTGTAGGGAAGTATTAACAACAGTCTGTGGAGCTCCTGGCTGTGAGGTCAGGGCACTTTCCCTTTGCCAGAGGGGTATCATCTGTGAGGCTTTTGCTCTCTGACTCTCTCTGATCCTTTGACGTTCCACCTAAGATGCAACCAGGAATTACAGCTGTTGAATGGCACACAGGGTATGTAGCCCGGGGCCCATGGGCACATAAATCTTTTTTTCCGGCATTTGCTACCTAAATATGGCAGAGCTGAAATGGGCTAAGATCAGATATTAAACTGACTTCACTGATTGTGTCAGCGAGTTAGGGAAATTCAGGGAGTAAAATGGCAGCAAAAATAATGAAAAGCAAATGGGATTAGGTAGCACTAGGCCCACTCCAGGCTGATGATGGGTAGGCTGCAGACTTGTTCAGTGAGCCTCTCACTCTTTTCTGGGTTCAGAACATTACTTCCCAAGTATTTTCTCTTATAATTTTAAGTCAGGCTTTTTTTTTTTTTAACAGAGGAGGCTAAATGTTTTTTAATCCTCCTTCTAGTTGAAAAAGCACATCCAGTAAATGCCAATGACACAAGCAACTTTTTTATAGTAGTAGTTGGTTTTCAGCAGAGTACGTCTGTTCCCCCAGAGTGTCTCTTCCTTTCCCTGCTTTGATTCATTCACTCGCTCTTCAACAGAACATCCAGGGGAAAAAAGACCGTGTATGATCAAGACCAGCAGTTGTATAAACACAGAAGTAAACCTAGTTTCTCACTTTTCCGTCATCTCTGTCTATAAAGTCAATACCCTCATGTCCGCAACAACGGGGGTGCCAGTTCTTGTAACTGTCTCATGCACCTCACAATAGTTGTTGCTTTTCTGCGGTCCCCATGTCTTGTGCTTACAGGAGAATTTCAGTCTAAATTTGGTTGCTTAGTTTTTTGCAGAGAGCTCTTTGGCCAGTGGAGACTAATGATATTTTCATTGGTGTCAAGTTTCTCATGCTTATCAAACTAGAGAAAAATCTTGAAAACAAGAATCTTAAAAAAGGCACAAAAATCACAAGGCAAATAAGAGAACAGCCAACCTATTCTTTTTAATATCTCAAGATTTTCAAGTGAATCTCATGAGTTTTGAACACTTGGGATTAGCGGCACTGAAGACTTTAACTCACCACTCTGTAGTGCCTGCGTGAGCACAAGTGTGATCTGACAGACAAGCCTTCAACTCAGCGAATGCATCTGCGATCCCTGTCTACCCTTAAATTTAGGACATAGCATAGGCCTTTTATGTATGCTTATCAACAAGTAGGCTATCTCCGTGTCCTTTGAATGTATTCTGCCTCTGCAGGGATAGGTAAACCCTTATGATGGGGATTTGTTAGACTCTCAGTTATAATTAATCTGCTATTATCTATTAAATGACTTATGAGAAGTAACAGCAGAGGAGAGTGTATGCTTAGATTGTGTGTCCCTTTTGGGTTATGCTGGGATATCAGAGGGTTTTAAAAATTAAAATGAAGTTTGGGGATTAAGGAATGTGTTCATTTCATTGCTTAAATCCTTTGTTTTGCAGGGGGTGGTTTGACTTGGTTTTAGCATTGGTTTTCTGGATCTTGGCATTAGAAGAGCAGGCAGAGAAAAAGATCATTTTAAAAACTGCACCCCACAGGTCTGCTCCTATTCCAACAGAAACATGCCCCAGCTGGCCCAATATCCTAATTTTAGCCAGTATTCAGAAAATTAAATAGATGGGATGATTGATCCTAGGCTTGGGAGCAATGAGGCATTCTGAATGTGGGTCATCTCTTTCAGAAGAATCATTAATGTGCAGAATAATGTTAATTTAATTGCTCAATTGTCTGATGTCATATGCTCAATTAAAACTCAACTCAGCTCAGAACTTCCCAGTACCTCTTCTTAGTGTACATGTGTGTGCACGTGCACACACACACACCCATGCAGGTTTGACCTCCATTAGTAAACAAATCACGTTTTCCATTTATATGTGGATGGGCCATTGCCCTTGCTTTGGAAGGGGTCTAGGAACGCAGTCTTTCAGAAGATAGGAATGCATTGGTGTCTCTAGACCGTCTGAATGTTTGCATTAAAAGAGTGGCATGGGTGCAAAGGCAAGTATTTAGATTTAGGAATGCAATTTAAATTTGGTCCCTTTATAAATATGCATTTAACACCACCTTTAGCTGCTTGATCTCATAC